AGTTTAAATAACATGAAAACATCGATCAAGAACAGAGTCGTGGAGCTACTGTTTTTATTTAGGGTATAAGAATTACTCGGGAACTTTTTTGTTTGACTCCGTTATCATCTGTTTTCATCTTACAAACTATGCGTGATTACGCGAGATCTCATTTTATGCGTGCTTATGCTTTCACATCTGGCCATTTCCACCACGTATAAGCGGTTCAAGAATATCTTTATTTACTTCTACAAACAGAAAACAGAAGGTCATTGACGCTATTTGTGACAATACTTTTGACATTCCTTTGTTGTATAATTGTTACCTACCCTCTTAAACACTCTTATGAACTGTTCTTTCAGGAGTCGATTCTTTTGGCTGAGGAGCCGAGCTCCGCTGAACCTGCCGAGGCTGACGAAGCAGAGGCGCCGGCTCCAGTCGAAGAACCCATGGAAACTGTAACCGTCTCGCTTACTAAAAAGAAAGGTGAGATCATTCAAAGAACTAATGTATGGCTGAATTGGTGCGGTATGAAAAGGAGAATTCTGATCGGTTTCCTTAGCAGTTTGAGTTTTATTTTGCAATACGGACCGCTCACGACCTAATTTAGGCAATTGCTCTTTCAATTCATTGCACAAAGTAAACAGTTTTTTTAAACTTAGAACTCTTTCATTTCTCGAATACGGACCTCACACTAGTTCAATAATATAAGTGTATAGCTCTAAAAAAAAAACTTTAAAAGAAATGTTTAAGGGCTTAATTTTTATAGACTTTTTTTTTTCTTCTGTCTATTGAGATGTTCGTGTGGACATCGGGGAATCAGTTATGCTTATACTTGGTTCAACGTTCTTGTGGTTTCGAAAACGTAACCGTAATTTTATGATTTATTACATGACTGAGAAACCTACGTTACTGTGATTGGCTGAGAGCAAGCCAATTTATCGTTAATTTTTCATTTGCACTACAGTGCAAATTAACGCACTTAAATCCACTTCTCGTCGTGTAAATTCTTAGTTACACGCGCATTCGTGCGATTGGCTTTACTAATACCATTCTGCACGCAGTCAATAATTGTCGTGCAGTTCCGGCAATGTCCTCTTTTGTACTTTGTCATCTCTTCAGGACTAAGGCTATTTTCTACAACAAAAAATGGTGTTGGACAATAAAGCAGCGCAAAGATTAACCATAGCACCTTATAAAAACTTGAAAAAATTGCGGGAATAATGCTTGTTTGTTTTTTTTGTCTGTTTGTTTGTTTTTCAACTTGGCATATCGCAAGCTTAGAAAATAAAAAAGATAAAGAAATATATAGAGGACAGTCGGCATAAGCAATATTAGGTTGTTAGCTTGTGTTGTCATGATTATTTCGATTTCTGCGGAACTTTCTCAAAATAATTAGTCTTAACTGAAGTAATGCTTTAAATGTTAATTTTCTAACGTTAAAATATAAAACAACCAATCAAGAACAACTTATTATCGCCTTCGACGTCTCTATAGCGTATCAAATAAGCGAGCTGCATGTTTTTATAATTCGATTATGCTCCGGCCATATTTTTACAACACTGTAAGACTTTTCTTTTTCTTTTCTTTTCTTTTTTTGTGCAAAGGTGGCTATGGGTTCAATATCAAAGGGGGCCGAGACAAGCCGTTCAGAGAAGGAGACACTTGTGTATACATCACCAGGCTCAGACCTGGAGCCGCCGCAGAGAAAGATGGCCGCTTGTCCCCTGGAGATAGAATTGTGGAGGTTCGTGGGACATCACTTTTGCGTTGTTTGTTCGCGACTCGGTAAACAGTTTCAGCTTAGACGAACCAATACAAGACCTTCGTCTTTCGTCTCACAAGCTACAGACGGTTGAAAACCAACCTCCATATAAATTAATAAACAACATTTCAGGAAGAATAAATATTTCACCAAACTCTACAAGAGCGGTTTACACCCTGGGTAGTGAAAGTCATCCAGTGAATGTCAGTTTCGGTGATAAAGCGCAATGATGAACAATAAATACAAACGGAAAAGAATATTGAATGAACTTCAAAGCCGTGTCAGTTATAATTTTCTTTTTCTATTATTTCCATAGATCAATGGTACTGATGTCCGTGACGTCACGCACGCTGAAGCACTGGACCTGGTGCGGAAAACAAAAGGAGGAAAACTGACATTATTGGTGCAAAAAAAAGCTGTTAAGGTACAAAGAACAGTACATCATAACAGATGATGGTATCCTAAGTCATTTTTTCGCCAGCTACGAAATTACACAAACTTAATTAAGTTTGCAAACACCAGAGATACTGAAAGCCAAATATTCAGTGATGATTTGCAACTGTTATCCAGAAAGCTAGTGCCATTATCCCGGTTTTGTAGCGGAGTAATGTAGTTATCAATAATCTCTTGAAAATCCGGTTGGTTGAAACTTCGTTGTTGTTTTTTTTTGTTTGTTTGTTTGTTTTTGTTTTTTGCCACAGATTGTTGAAGATGATGATGGTCAGGGCGTCATGAGAATTGAATTGCAACGGGAAAAGAAAGGTAATTCAAGAAACTATTAAATAAACGTTTTTTGGTAAAATCGCTTACATTCCATCATGTTTATACTTTCTTTTCAGGGAGAGGGCTGGGTTTTAACATCCGGGGAGGTAAAGATAGCCCGTATGTACCTGGGGATCCAAGTATTTTCGTCACCAGGATCAACGGAGAAGGCGCGGCCGCACGGGACGGGAGACTTAGTGTCGGTGACAAACTTCTTGAGGTAAGAACACTTTCAAAACCTTTTTAAACAATAGAGTGTTTCTGTCGAGGAACTATCGGCTGATAGTTGCCCTTTGGAGATTTTCTTAAATACTCTTACAACAATTTAAGAACCTCATATTTCCAAGGGACAACTATCAAACCGATAGTTCCGAGACATTAACACTCTATTGTCTATATCAGAAATGATATGCTTCTGTCTGTATTGATCACCACTAAATTTTCTTCCGAGGGCCAGTTCATAAATCATATTGAATTATTTTCAACTTTGTTAGATGAAAGCTGTGAGTGACAAAATTTAATGTAAAATTGAAAAGAAAACAATCAGATCCCCACTAAATGCAGGTCAATCAATCTCTCAATCTCTTTTTTTTTTGTATATGAAAGTCAGCTTGTTTATGGAAACAAATTTTCACGGACGAGTACTATCCGCTCCGGTATTTTCTTCAGATTGGCACTCTGGGGAGATAGTGTCTCCGCCGATGACCACAAAATGTTTTCTGCTAGCAGTTGGCGAGGACGTGTATTTTATTGCCAATAAAATTTTCTAAACGAAAAGAGTGCTTTGAAGTTAAAAGCAGTGGTATATTTTTGAAACAAAGTGATAGGTAGACAAACAATAAGTAAGCAAACAAACAAGTTAATGGTCATGTATATTGTCAATCCAACAGATCAACAATGTCAATGTAGAGAACTCTACAATAGACCGCGCTATTGATCTCATTCAATCCAAGAAAAAACTCCTGCTGCTGGTAGAGAAAAAGGCGCTTCAGCAAGTTGTGGTAAGACTGCAAATTATGAAGTTGTAATGAGTTCGGATGACAACACAAATGTTGAAGTGATGAATTAAAGTTGACAAAGTAACGACTCCTTCCAACTTGTTTCACTGTTGTGTAGCATCTTTTCAAAAACGCCACATCAACGTTTCTCGTTTTACCTGCGAACACACTTTCAACCAATGTTAAAACCGGCGATGTTCAATCGTTTTACATGGTTCCAAGACATTTAAGATGAGTTTTCTTCCTGGGCTCTGGTTTGGCTTTTTATTCAAAGTGTAACTCACCGTAAATACTGACATTCCTTAACAGAAAACCGTACGAGAAGGAGCGGTGGATGGTGTCAGAGGTGTTGAGGCAGCCATTGAGTTGTACAAGGATCCTGAATATGGTACGTGAAGAAGCCAGTTAGGGCTTTTATTCTTTCTTTTCACTCCAGTTTTTCGTCCGTCGATTTTTGTTTTGTTCCTCGGCCACCTCACAGCCGAAACAGTCTAAAAAAACTTGCAGATCTAATTTCGGAACGACTGTTGTTCAATGAGATAACTTACAATGACGTTTCGGAGCGCTTTGGCTACAATAACTTCTGTAATGTAAGCAGTTTTTCTAGCGTGTTGCAGTAAAGTTTGCAGTTTATCACTTACCCGTGCCCCGAGCGATCAAGGAGTGTATTTATTTAACCTCTATTGAGTCTACTCAGGTCTTGGCTTCAACATCCGGGGAGGCAGTGACGCTAATTACCTTCGGGGGCATCCGGGAATCTTTGTCACGTCAATCAAACCAGGAGGCTCCGCTGATCGTGATAGCCGCCTCAAGATAGGAGACAGACTTCTTGAGGTAAAATACAATTACCGTACAACTTTATCAAACTAAGAATAATTAAATTTTGCGCTTTAGTGGGAAATTTCCTGAACCGGCGTTTTCAGTTGTTTGTGTTTTTCTTTTTTCTATGAGAAAGAACAGTAGTAATTGTGTTTACACACGTCTAAATAAGAGCTAAGTAAGCTCGAACGTGTATGCAAAAAAAATAAATTATAAAATAAATTATATTGTCACAAAAACAATACAGTTAAATATCTATAATATAAAATCAACTTTTCCCAAGACCTCTATCACGAGTTTCTAAACGACACCCATAACAAATGCAAGCAGATACCAAAACCTCATGAACTGAACATTTCACTAGGACGTTTTGTTTTGTTGCACGATATTTTCAAACTGTTTAATCCTTACAACTGAACAGCTGTTTCTGATCGATTAACAGCTTTTCAAAGCTCAAGTCTTTCCTTTTTTCAGATAAATGGTGTAGACGTTCGCTCAGTTCCTCAAGATGCTGCAGTCCAACTTGTACAGCGGTCCGTTGACAAAGTGACGCTATTGGTTGAAAAAGATGCAGAGCAACAATTTAAAAACTCCGAGTTTTACAGCTTGGTAAGAAACAGTAGGTCCTAGTTTTAGCTTACTTTTAAGGGAGCTTCTTCACGGTTTGCACATCGTGAAAAAATTAGCCAAAATTTTTCAAGTTCGGCGTTTGTAATTCATATAAAGCGTTTTAACCGCCTCGCCCTGGGTATCATGATAGCGATTGAAAAGTTTTGTCAATGCTTCTTTAACCTGTTTTCTCAGTTTATCCACTGTTAAAAGAAAAAAATCTCGTTGAAAGCACTCTAGCATTTGGTGGACGTGAGTTAATATTCTTATTTTTTATTTTTTATTTTTTTCTTTCAGAGTGACTTTGATGAGATTGACATGAGTGGAGAAGCAGGCTGTTTCTTTAGAGATCAGAAAAGAAGAATCGGTGAGTACAACTGCATTTTAATGTTCTCCGTGAAAAGTAAGTTACTTTCGAAAATGTTCATGAACTCAGACTTCCTTCCCTTGCTATTCAGCTTTTGCTACCTGGATTGAAATAAATAAAGTTTTCTGGTGTGTGTCCTCTTACAAGTTGTCTGTCTTGTGTCATTTCTTGTTAGATTTTGTGTTGGTTTACGAAGAAATCGACAGTGAGCCTCCAACTAAAGAAGTCTTAAGATTCCGGAACAGATACATGAAAAACCTGCAGAAATCTCAGCTGGAGTTTGAAGAGGTTTGCTTGTTTTCGTACTTGAACTTTCTATTGAAAATTCCCAGACTTAAAATATTCGATTAGAAGAACTGGAAGCTGCTGAATTTTTGTGCTTCTGGTTCAATGAGCTGTGAACGGAGTTCAAAACAAACATGACCTGCGTGTTTTTAAGTTCCAATGGACTATAACTTACAAGTCGAGATATTCTTCTACACAGTCAATAGCCAACTAGTGTTTTTCACTTCCTCGTCACAGGTCTGCTTGAAATAGACCATTTCACAGTTGTCTGTTCAGTGACCTGGTCTTTGAATGGCAGCGAGGCTGCAGGTGACGTTGTTTTGATACAGACCTCACTGCTTTTGTTGTGTAAATCAAGTTGTTCTTGCGCTAACTAGTTGCCATTTAAATAAGAAAAGCAGAGAAGTTTGTATTAAAATAAGGTCACCTCCAGCCTCGCTTGTATTCATAGGCCAGGTAACTAAGCAGACAACTGTATAATGGCCTATTGTGACTCACTACTGACTGAACTCTTTTTTTACTTCCTAAAGGAAAAATCGGCCACGAAAAAAGGTCAACTTCACTTTATCAAAGTTCACATTCCGTGGGAGGTGATGCTGTTTTACGCAGAAGAGCTAAATTTTAAAGGACCGCTGAAGGTAAGAACACTAATGACACGGTGTTTCAGAGCGGACAGCAAGATTATGAAAAGCCTGATTTGAAAAAGGTTTCAGTCTTCAATCTTCAATCAAAGTGCACAAGAAGAAAAAGTTCTCTTTCAATTTAAATCAAAACAATACTCTTAACCATTTATATATATATATATATATATATATATATATATGTATAACAAAAATTCCCAACAGCGAGTTTTCAAAATAATTCAGTCTCTACCCCGTTAAAGGAGCACAGTCACAGTATTTTAAGTTATTTTTCTACGTACAAAATTACCTTTAAATTGAAGGAAACCTGAAAACAGACATTTACTATTAAAGGCAGAGAGAAAAAACAGAGATTATAATTAGACGAACAAGGATGGTTAAGGATGGAGAAGATTAGCAGGCATTGCAAACGACGAACTTTAAAAATGTAGCTCCTTTAAAATCACCTCTGACTTGTATCATGCCTTTCAGGCAGCAAGCGTGACTTTCTCAAGATAAGCCTGAAGATATTTTGTCCACTGTTTTTTCATTCCTAGCACAAGTGGCTACACTAGCGTCTAATGCTAATTGCTTGTTTGTCTATTTTAAGGCCAGAACAGAGGAGAAGATCAACTGGTCGGAAAGAATTTTAAAGAAATTTCATTTGCCAAATGTATTCAAGGATGATGTCCCATACCAACCACCAGACTACTTCACCGCCACATTCCAGGCTAACAAGTTACACAAGTAATAAAACAAACTTGATTTGCTTGTTTACTGAAAAAAAAAAAACAGTGCTTGTCAGTGTTTACAAGTAGTTGTCTATTAAACAGGTTTAACAGGAATTCACGAAACGCCGCCATACTAAACTGAAATTTGAGTTATTCATTCGCCGATTTGTGTGTAGAAATAGCACTTTGGCCCAAAAAAATCTGCTTATAGAATTTTCAGTCTACATAGAGTATACAGACATTTTAGTCAGCATAGTAACTAACTCCGAGCAGTGCTCGGTCTGCCTCCAATCTGGAAAGCAGTGACCTCTCTAAGGAGGAGATAGCACACTGGCTTGAATGTGACTACTTTCCAAGTAGCTGAATGTCCGCGTGTGGAAATTTTCTTTTTGTCTAACGTTTATGAAAAAAAAAGAAAATATTGCCTTGTTTCTCGATTACTTTTTTTTTAGATTTGTCGGCAGCGATAACCCAGAAACGTATTTCAAAGACACTGAGAGAACAAGAGTGGTGAGTTCTAATTTTGCATTCAAGTGAGAAAAACTAGGTCAGATGTTTTCTCAGTCCCTTATTTTTGGGGAGCATAAACCGAATTAATATTTTCTCCATAGGCAAACGAGATACTTGAAACTGCAGTGTATGGAAGCCGCAACAAAGGGGAAATAGGTGAATTGAACACTTTCCTTTCTTTCTTAAATCAATCATGTGTTTGAATCAAACGTTACATTAACAACCACAACCTTGGAACAGTTTTTTTTTGGTAAAACAGCTTCATAAAGCTAAACCAACAGTGACGCCAACACAGAAAAAATTCATGTTAACCAATCAAAACTCGCGGCAGAAACATGCAACCGCTACTGAGCGTGGAAAACTTTGCCAAAGTCAAAAGTGATTAGTTTTAGGTTTGCATGACGGGTCAAAAAGACAATTTATTGGAGTGATTGGTTGTGGTACTTTGAAAACCATTGTAAAATAATAACAATAATAATTATAATAAAATATCTTTAGCCAGGAAGCAACCTCACCCTCGGGTGGTTTTCAGGCTGGTCCTAAGCACATGTTGTAGATATACAGTATCTAAAAGTACACAAATACAATAAAATCCTAAGATAAAGTTCATATAGTAAAATTTGATAAAATAGTTTACACAAGCTATTAAAACAAATCTAGGTTATTTGCATCTCTTGTAGACTCTTGTAAACCAGTTATAACCTATTTGTTATTCCTGTTCATAATTTTTGATCAACGTTATTTCTTTTCTTTTTCATTTAGGAATCAGTCGACTGGTTGAAGAAGGAGTGTATAGCGCCGCTTATCCCCTCCATGTGGTAAGATGCACTGTGCTCCGTCAGTGCACGTCTGTCGCACGAGCTCATTCATTTTCACCATCAAACAAACACAGCTAATGCTGGCTAACAATCCAAGTCACGGTATTTTGAAGTATTTTGACCACGTGCAAAATTACCGTTAAATCGAAGGAAAGCTGAAAAAAATCGTTTACTAAGGGAGAAAAACAACAAAGAGATGCTGATAAACCATTGAGGAACAAGGATGGTTAACCCTTTGAATACCAACTACGCATATATGCGTAATTAATGGTCGTGCTCTTTCTACCACTTGTGACGTCATCAATTCATCCGCACAATGGTCAGGTTTAGATATCGACGACATTCCGACGTCGCAAATCGAAAAACGTTATCAGTTTTGGTGCAAAAACGGTGGTAAAATGGTCCACTACGCCTATGATTGATCAAGGTCCATTTCTAAGTCCAAATTTTGGCTTATGCGCATGCCCGGAACTGAAAATTTGCTCAATTTTGTACCTAATCCTCGAAAAATCTCTCCTTTTAGTAAGAAAAAGCTTTCTTAGCAAAACTTAGGCTTATTTAGCGTCATGGCAGCTAAAAAAACCTGACTAAACGGTTAAAAACGGTATTTTTTGGCGAAAGTTTGGTTTTCAAAGGGTTAAGGAGGGAGAAGATTAACACGGACTAACAATGAACGAACTTGAAATTTAGGCTAAACTTTTAAGATACGCAAACCGTGACGTAATAGTTCCTTCAAGCCAGACTTTATTGAATGTCACCTTTCCTGCTCTTTCTGATTCCCAGTCAAAATGAAATTCGTGGATTCATTGTCGTAACTGAATCAATGTGCTGTAAGTGTTATCTCCTGGTTATTTCTTATGATTGTTATATACCTTGTTAATTTGGTTCATATTATACCACCTCTCAGGGTCCTGCAGAACTGCCTGCAGATTGGAATAAAACTCCACACGAGCCAGATGAGGTAAAACTCAATCAAAGACAGGTGAGAGATGACAAGTCATATTATTGATCCCGAATAACGTGTGCAGAATATAGCGGTCCTTTACTGAGAGTGGTAAATCCTAAACCAAACCAACTACTTGCCAATTAAACTACTCAACCAATCTCAAACCGTAGTAAAACCAAAACCAAAGTAACTGCCTGATTACTTTCTTTACTCGATTGAAAACCGCTCTAATTAGTAACAATACCTTTTACACACCAATCGCTGTCTACTTAAGAAGGTTATCTAAGGGAATCTAGCTTAAAACCCTATCCTACTAAAGGACCTTACTTCTGTAGAGTGGTGTTAATCTATCAGCCATTCATTTCGAAACGCGCTTGAGAAAAAGAACAAAATACAACTTTATTGCCTTAACGCAATGCTACGTTGGAAAAGATGAAATTGTTTTTTTCGTGTGTGTGAAACAACAGGTGCTGAAAGAATACTGGGCTCGATGGGGAAAGTGGCTCAAATACCAACCACTTGATCACGTGCGAGAATATTTCGGAGAGAAGATTGGGATCTACTTTGGTTGGCTTGGTAAGTCAGTGCTGTTCAGCAATGGAACATGTATCCTAGAAATTCCAAACAAAATAAATGCACAGTATTTTCCCTCAACGATGCATCCAGCATATATCTACTTAACAACCTCATTAACAAGCTTCTACTTGATTACGAACCTGACTACAAACTGCAATCAAGAGTGGATACCTCATCCTCTCTTGCCTTAATGTATCTGCCCAACCACCAACCTGTCCTCTGAATAGCTGCTTACCTAACACGCCCAGATTCACCTACCTTACTATCTACCTACCACTGACCAACCTACCTACTTACTTACCTACCTGAAACCCCAGCTACTTACGTCGCGTCCTACATCACAACACCCCTTAGCTAGCTGTATCTATCATCAAACCACCCTATACTGCACCTACACCACGCCACATATATTTCATTCGAAAACTTCATGTGTGTAATTGAAAGACCCATCGGTTTCCTTTCTTCTTAGCATAATTCGGGGAAATAACAATCGTTATTTCCTACCAGTAGGGAAATAGTGTTTTTGCTCTTGCTGCTGGTGTATTCAAGTGTCTCGAGCATTAAGTGTTCGATTGCAGTATAATGTTTTGCTTTGTTTCGTTTCGTTTTTCAACAGGTCAATACACTGCGTGGCTGATAATGCCGTCAATCATTGGACTATTTGTCTTTCTTTACGGTTACTTGACTATGGACAGTGGAGAAAACACAGCGTAAGTTCCAAAGAACTATTCCTTAAGGTTTACCAGACTCCAATAACATGAATAAATGGTTGAGACTAAATTTAGTGGTACATGAGCACTGAAAAAGGGTCCTCTATTCCAATGCGGTTGTAATACAGTAAAGTAAAGACTTTATTATTTTAAAGTGATTGACTGTATCTTAGTTACATAGAAAGCTACTTCACAGGAAAAAGCCACAGTAAAGACAGTTTCCCTCGTAATCTGTAACAGGTACCCAGCTTTGAGTATGACATGCTATGAAGGAAGTCCATGTGAAAAGATTCCTCTATGTTTCACTTCCAGGTTGGAAATCTGTAACAGCCCAAACTGGACGTTTGTCATGTGTCCACTATGCGAGGAAGAATTGGGCTGCAAGCCATGGGATCTGAAAACAAGCTGTGGCCGAGCAAGAGTGAGTCTATTCTGGTTTCAGTCCTGCTCGTCGTACCTTTAGGGGTTAAAAAACTGGTTTTGTTAACTCTTATGGTGTTCAGCCTCAAAGTTCCACAGCGGAAGTGTCTACCGTACCTTTTAGGGTATCAAGCCGAAAAAACTGTGACGGGAGATGTGTTGCTTTAGAATTGGTACCTCCTAAGGGTAAAAAATAACATTCAAGCCGCGCCCACAAAAGGGGATCTTGGTACCTCCTAGGGGTTCTCTTCAAAATTTCCGACGAGCACCCTCGTCCTTTTTATATAGGAGTCCCTCCTCCGGGGTCTCAGCTTGCTATGGGGAAACCAATGCATAATTACTTTTAGTATCACCCAACTGGTGGACTAATGCAAATCCTGTATTTTAATTGGTTACGCTACTAGAGGACTATTCGTAATAGTCCTCGAGTAGCGAAATTGGCGCAATCGAGCGTGACGCTTTCTTTCGTTTTATTCCCGAATAAATATTTCTTCAACTTGCATTTGCTAACTTTATTATTGCCTTTTCTGTCCGACTAGTTGGGTGATACTAAAACAATTAGACCCGTAGCCCGCAAGGGCGAAGGGTCTGATTGTTAATTAGTCTCTTTTGTGAGTGTAACGTGTACTTGATTTCGCCAGGATCTATATACCACTGTTATAACAGGGATTGAAATACGTATAATTTGCTTCGCTAGGCTTTGTTAGCAGCTGCACTGAAACATATTTTCTTTTTTGTCGGACCTTATGCCCATATGAAATCATCGTCAGGAAGCTAGTTCGATTACAGTAAAGTTTGTTACCTTCCTGCGAGTTGTGTGCATACTAAAATCTCTTGTTCTACAGCTTCTTTTAATATTTGCTGTCTAGTGATGTATGTTTTAATCTTTTCTTCTTCAGATATCATACCTATTTGACAATCCAGCCACAGTTGGGTATGCTGTTTTTGTGTCTTTCTGGGGTGAGTCGCAGACATATTTTGTATTTTATGACAACAACTTAAAATCAGCTTTAGCCACACCTACTGCATGTAACAGGCACACAGTGTCATGGCGAAAAGTTACTAAAAGATTTATAAATTACCATCAGGAACCATAATCGGGGACGGAGACCGTAAG